TCTTCAGAGTATTGTCTCTGGCGATTTATCGGACATTGTATTTAACGCAGATTTATCCGAGTGGCAAGAAATTGTAGTAGTTCTTTGCACATTTGCTCGTTCTGAAGAATTTGGAGGATTGTGCAACGCATTAGGTCAGAGACTAGAACAAGAATATCGTAAGCTTACTGGCCCTTCTTCAACAGAAGAAATGAAATCAAGAGGATTAGAATACCGAAAGAATGCTGTATTATGTTTTCTTGCTGCCGGTAATTTGGAAAACGTAGCAAGTATCTGGATTGCTGAACAGGAAAGTGAAGAAAACCAATATGAAACTGTACAAAATAATCAAGACGGATCGAAATTTACAGGCTCGAAATATTCTCATCACGCCAAAGCTCTTCAAGGTCTGATTGAGAAAGTTACCATATTTCGCAAAGCTATTGACTATGTTGACCCATCCGTGGCTCAAAGTTTAGATTCACCTACTACTGATCAACAATACAAGTTATCTGCCCTATATGACAAATACACTGATTATGCAGAAATTCTCGCAGCTCAAGGTCGTTTGACTACTGCTCTTAAATATTTGAATTTAATACCTGCAGAGTACAAGACAGCTGCACTCGACCAAAATAATTCTTTGGCTGTAATCAGAGAACGATTGTATTATTCTGGTGTAGATGTAGGAAGCACAAAAACACCTTTGTTCCCATTTGCGCAAGTACACGTTAGAGCAGATGGCGAAATAGATCAATCTGCTGTTAATAATGATATAACTTTTCTGCCTCAAGATCCTAACATCACACAAGCTGCTTACCAACAAGCCGCTGCTCAACAAACATATTATAATCAGTACGCCTATAACCAGCAACCCATTGTTCCAAATGTTCCGTACCAGCCTCAACAGCCTCAACAGCAAGCCCAACAGGCTCAACAGAGAGCTTATAACCAATATATACCGCCTCCATATAATCCTCCGGTACAACATCCCACCGGTTACCCTTATCAGCAAAACTTTACCGGGTATAATCAGCCATATCAAGAAAATAATAATAATTTAATCCCTCAACCTCCTATGCCTCCTATGCCTAATGCGCTTGCTCAAAACGAAAACGTACCGCCCGCAGAAGTTTTAGCCCCAAAGAAAAATGCACCAAACTGGAATGATCCTCCGGTTGTACCTTCTCCACAGATGAATAAAAGAACAGCACAAGCTCAAGTAAACAAGCCATTACCTATTGTATCTCCTTTTCCGGCATCCAATTCTCCAACGCAACAAAAGATGCAACCCCCGCCGACGCAGAATTTTGCTGCGACATCCACTTCCCCAGCGCAGCAAAAAGTGCATCCCCCACCACAGAATTTTGCAGCACCTCCACAACCGAATATACCTACCGGCTTGCCACCACCACAGGCAAATCGTGCAGCTCCTACAACAGCAGCGTATCAACCTGTTGTTGGTGGATATACTCCTGGAACAAACGCAGGGTACTCAGCATCCAATGCTGGATATAACCCACCGCCAGTTACTCAACAATTTGTACCCCCTCAAAATCAGCCAGCACCTGTTGTTCAACCCACCAGAGTACCTACTCCATCAAAAACTCCAACACCTTTAAACAAACACCGTGAGTTTCTTGATTGACTCTTTTGTCGCAATAACATTTAGAGTATAAACCTTAGAATATACTAAGTTGTATATAATTTGTAGCATCCGGTGATAGAACCCATATTCCAGCTGCACAAAAACCAATATTTACTATACTCAGTAACGAATTATTGAGAGCTCGACAACATTCTCCTGTAAGCT